GAGTCTTTCTCTGAACAGACATAGTTTTGATAGGGCTGATTAAGGATTTGGCTATCTAAGGAAACTCATTATAGTATTAATTAGGATACAATGAGCACCAAACTGTGTTGTTTTGGCAGATTTCTGCATGGTGCCACACAATTGGTGAGAGGCTTAAAGCTCATCACATGAACCCTGAAGTTTTTGGAATCAATACAACTTCTTTCTAAATGATTGATTTTTAAGCTTTTTATCTTCTCTTTGCCTTGCAGGGTTTTGAAAATTCCCTCATAATCACAAAGATGGCAAATATTTTGGACTATCTTATACACAATAAGCAGATAGAAGATATTTAAGTTTCTCTGTGGAAATATTTTTAAAGGACGATCAGATTTTACTCAAATTTTAAAATAGAAGTGTCAGATAACTTTTGTCTGACTCAAACTAAGGCCTAGAATTTTAGCTTTTAAGATGTACTAACTTATTTGTAATGCTGTTGAGAACATCTAAGGTCTCCTTTTATCACACTAATGCAATTTGTCTGAAATAACTTTTGTAGTGTTTTACTTAAAATAAGCTAACAGTAATTAATGCTTCCCTTTAAAAATGTTTGTATCTGTAGTTTGCTACATACATTTCAGACAAGAGAAACCCTGTCACAACAATAGTAAGGGAAATACTTTCTGAAATAAAATAACAAAAAATTAAAGGTTTTAGGGGAAAAAAAGGACTCCTTTGCTGTTTATTCAAATTTGTTAAAGTTTTTCTCTAATACAGAAAACAAGGTCTTTTGGGTAATGTAATTGTTGACCATTGGTACTCATCCTCTACAAGTGAGCATCCCTGTAGGGATCAGAGTGTAAAAAGCAGAGTTGCATGCAGTCCTGCCATGAAACTCAGGTGTCCATGAGTTATAATGCAGTATTTAGTATCAGAGTGCTTGTCTTGAAACAGAAGCCATTGAGCAGTAAACCTAACTACCTTTGGAAAGAACTTTCCCATAATTATTAACTAGCAAGGAAAAGTCCAAATGGCTTCAGTAACCCCTGAGGCAAAGCCAGGGACTTGCCACGCTCACTGGCACCCAATGGAGAAAGGTGTGTGCAACAGGGAAAGGGGGGAAGGGCTGGCGGGGGGTGCTTCACCTCAGGGAAAAAGTTGCCAGCAGAGCCATTGCTGCCCTCTCCTGGAAGTGTCCCGGGAGAAAATGTCCAGGAGACAGGGGCCGGAGAACGGTCCACAGAAGACATGCCGAATCAGCACATCTCACAGGAGCTCTAGGCCGCTTGTTTCATTCAGGTTTTCAGCGGCGCTGGGCTGGAAACCCATTCTGTTCAGAAACACAGCATGGAAAAGAGTTTCCTACCTCTGTGTATCTTCCTTGATTGGAGTTTCAAGTACAAATTCACCATCTTTTTAACATTCAAAAAGCAGTGCATTTGGCAAATACAAGCGAGCCCGCTTTCTTCATCTGCCCTGGGTGAGCCCACTGACAGACATCTCACACCTCTCTGAGAGCCAGGAGTGCCTGAGGTCACGTCCAGCTCTTGGGTAGAGGGTCCAGGGGAAGACAGATGGCACTGTCTCTCTGAGGGGCAAGGTTTCTCTGCCGGACCAATATTTAGAGGTTTTGGTTAAACTTTGGAAAAGAAGAATGGCAGATGTTCTCATATTGAGGCTGAGGCTAGGACTGATAAACTGGTCAGCAATACCTCATCCAGCTGTTACAGCAGGAGTTAGAGGCACAGATCCTTTCACTAAGATAAGATCTCAGGTCCACACAGGATCCTTGAGCAATTGACTGGCCTCATAACCAATCCAAGAAGCTTGCTTGTTCAAACACACCAAATCTGCTTATCTTTGAATGGTATTTATGCACATTTGAAACTTGACTCAGGGGAAGAATGTAAAAAAATATAATTGTCATCTCAGATTACTAGAACTAAAGCTGGAAAAGAGAACAATTCCCAGTTTGCATCATGATGAAGTAAGATTTACTTCCATGAGTGCATCAGTCTTTAGACAGGGAAATATTAAAGGTCTGCGACGTGTGTTCCTTGCACTTCTAATTCCAGCCGCATATTCAGTTAAAAAATTATTGCTCCAATGGTGTTAATATTTCACACAACACATTTTATTATGCTGTCTAGTGGTCTAAGTGAGGAAAATAGAATGGAAGTTTCCATTTTGTTCCCATTATTAGCTCTACTGAGAACTCCATATAACCAAAATTGCCAAATATCCAAAATCTCAGTGTTAGAAAAAGCTCAAAGAAAGCAACTCTCCACATGTGGCTTTGTGTACAAAAGAATTTCCATGGTGAGATGACTAATCCTCGAGTAACTTGTCACAACTATAATTACTTTAATAATATTGTAATTAATTAGGAAGTATACTCCACCTTCTATCTCTTCATTCACCTTCCATTGCACTGAGTCAAATAAATTGCAGTTACAAAACACTTTTGGTCCAAAACTCACTATAAGGACAAGATGCAGTATTATCCAAGCAATAAAAAAAAAAAAAAAGTAGTTTTCTTCTGAAAACAGCAAATATTGAATTTTTACAGAAGGGGGGAGAGGAATCAAGTATTGTTGGATGGCCTCATCCATCTGAACATTAGCTTCACAATCTAGGTCTCGCATAGAATGTGGGAACCATCAGGACCTATTAAGGAATAGCTGTTCTGATTTTCATAGTGCTTCCTGAGCTGTGCTTCACTCACATCAGGAAATGCTTCTATTTGCACTCTTGAAGCAAAGAAAGTCTCAGGTAAAGCAAGACTTAGAAGATCAGTCTTGTCTGGACACCTAAATACTGAACAAGTGTTGGTCTTTCAGCTGGAGTAATGTAAACTGAAGCCTTAGAAACAGGTCTCAAGAGCAGAGTTGAAAGAACACATGTATACCCTAAGAGGAAAATTACTTACAGCAAACTTTTGTCCAGTAAAATTGCCAGTCACTTTTATTTTCTGTAAATTAAAAAAAAAAAAAAAAAGATAGGAATAGGAACACATAGAAAAAGAATCCCTAGAAGCATACTGAAGCAGCTATTCATAATTAATTATTGTGTTCACCTAGATGCTGACAGGACACAAAACAAATGAAGCGGAAAAGCTGCTTCTCCTAGAACTAGGGTACAATATATCTTAATACTTAGGAACAAGAAATTCAAAAGTGGGAGGACTGCAGCAGAGTCAAGAGCTGACAAACACAGTCATGAATGAGAAAGCCTGCATTGATTATGATGAGATAAGTGAGGAAGCTGACTGTGAGGTGAGGAACTAGGAGGCTTTCTGTAAGATGAGATACTTGGTAAGGACTGTTGTGAGACCCTTGTCATTCAGATGATAATCTAGAGTAAACCTTCCCCATCTATCACGTGCCTTCACAGGTATTGAAAGAAGAACTGACATCACAGACAAATTTTCAAATATGTAAATACAGGCAAATAAATAAAGGAAAAGCTGATTACAGAAAGACACCTGATATCTTTTGTCTGAGATTCAAGTTGAAAGGTATAAATTATTCCCATAGCATGATTGCACAATAAAGTAAAAAACACTCCTCAAGGAGAGTGTTATATATTTCATTTATTATACATCACTCTTATGTTTACAACTGAAATACATCTTTCCTTGGGGACCGTACCATCATTTATTTTAAATCAATGTTTAAAATTAAATGGTAATCCTCAAGAGAGTGAAGACTCTTCAGTTACCAGCCCTTCCAATTCAAAATCTTTCTTTCATGTTTCTATTTAATACTCAATCCAGGGTTTGAAATTAATTAAAAGATATCCTTTCTCTAATCTTTTGATTACTAGCTTCAAAGTTGGTTTTTTTTTTCTTTTTCTTTTTTTTTTTTTTTTCCCAAATAAAATTATAATAACTTCATGTCTTAGCCGTTCTATTAGGTTTGCCTGGCCAGGTTTTGGTACTGGCAGGACTATAGGGGTAGCTACAGGGCTTCTGTGAGAAGCTGCCAGAAGGTTCCCCTGTATTTGATGGAGCCAATGCCAGCTGGCTCCAAGACCAACATGCTCCTGGCCAAGGCCGAGCCCATCAGAGATGCTGGTAGTGCCTCTGCATTTAAGGGGAGGGGAAAGTTACTGTGCAAGAGCATTCAGAGAAGAATACATGAGAACCACAGCCCTGCCCACACGAAATTTAGTGAAGGAGGGGACAAGGTGCTCCAGAGCAGAGTTTTCCCTGCAGCCTGTGGTGGGGAGACCATGGTGGGTCAGGCATGCAGCCCATGGAAGTCCATAGTGGAGTGAATATCCCCATCTGCAGCCTGTGGGGGACCCCAGTTCCAGTGCAGGGGATGCCAAAAGGAAGCTATGACCCCATGGGAATCCCATGTTGGAGCAGGCTCCAAGTGGGACCTGTGGTCCCACGGAGAGAGGAGCCCACACTGCAGCAGTTTTGCTGGCAGGACCTTCTCTCTTGTGGAGGACCCACACTGCAGCAATTTGTCCCTGAAGGACTGCACCCTGTGGAGAGGGACCCATGCTGGAGGTGTTTATGATGAACTGCAGCCTCTGGGAAGGACTGACATTAGAGAAGTTTATGGAAAATTGCCTTCTATGGGAGGGACCCCACTCCGGAGCAGGAGAAGAGCGTGAGAAGTCCTTACTCCTCAGAAGAAGGAGCAGCAGAGCCAATACGTGATGAACTGACAGCAGCTCCCATTCCCTGTCCCCCTGTGCCACTGGGGGAAGAGAAAGAGGACATGGTGGGTAAAGGTGAGCCTGGGGAGAAGGGAGGGGTGAGGGGACAGTGTTTATGAGATTTGGTTTATTTTTAATTATCTTACTTTGATTTGCTAATTAATAAATTAAACTAATTCCCCTGAGTTGAGTCCATTTTGCCCTTGATGGTGACTGGTGAGGGATTTCTCCCTGTCCTTATCTTGACACGTGAGCCTTTTGTAGTATTTCTTCTTCCCTGAAGAGGGGTGTGATAGAGTGGCTTTAGTGTGTACCTGTCATCTGGCCAGGGACAACCCACCAGAGTAGTATATTCAAATTGTTATTAAATGCACTAACTGCATTATCTTCTGACCAATAATTGAAGGAGAAGAGTTTGGTGGGGGAAAATGATAGGTTCTTGCTTAGGAACAGTCAGTAGTGACTAGTCTATTTTTGGTGTTAATTGTAGTTTCCCTCTATTAAAATCAAATATAAGGAGAAACTGTTAAAAGGATGCCATGTTTAATGTCACTCGGTGACTTTTGCTGCAACTTGGGACACAAATTTGCCACATGATATTCAACAGCCACTTCACTTGTGGAAGGTACCTTTTTCTCAAGATCTTCATACAAACTGAGTACTGCACTGTGGGGGAATGCAGACACCCCCTCACAGTTTGCAGAGGTCGGATCTGGCCTACATATGGAGCCAGGAAATCTGCACTACAAATCTTTGTCATCTCTTTATGTTTTCATCTCCTATTAGCATCCTGACACACTCATAGCATGCTTGACCTGGTGTGTTGCTTGCATGAGTTACATGGGAAAAATACAGGACTTCAGCAGCTTGAGCTAGCAATGCAATGCATTTCATCACCTTCATAGAATATTTTGAAAAGAAAAGAAAAAAATAAGATTCCTGGCTCATGAAAATATATTCAAAATCGGTGGACCCATAAACACATCTGTGTTCTAGATCATTTCAGATCTGACACTTTTCACAGGCTCTGGTCTGTAGAGAAATAGCCTTAAAGTACTAATAACCCCAAACTCAGCTTCATGCTGCCCCACTCTTATGCATTCATGAGGTCTCACTGTCATTCAAGGAGTCCACAAGGACACTCATCATTGATTGCAGAAGTAGGGATTTACTGAATATAGTCTGTACAGGATTAAAAATATACCCCCTCTACTCAAATATGGATTTAAACCCTGCACAAGAGCTCTCTACTAGGAAGAGAACTCAAACATGCATGGCATCTTACTGAGGGCTCAGCCTCTCATTCAGATAGGGTTTCCTAAAAATCATAGCTCTTCCTAGACATGGCTACCTTTAAACAGCTCTACAGATAGCCATGTGGACTGAGAAGTACAGATGTAGGAAATCTTCATTCCAAAAACCTACTTTGACCCTGCTCCTAAATTATTCTGGGAGGCATAGCCAGCATATACCTTTCTCTATAAAGACAAAGTGAGCAGAGAGTGTGGCTGCAGGAATGGAGATATTTTCCAAAGGAAAGGGAGGAAAAAAGCCATACAACAGTACAAGAGTCTGCTAATGAGGTCACACTTCACTCAGTGCAATGGAAAATACAATTTTATGATACTTAAAGAAAATTGTTAATATAATAAGACTTTTATCAAAGATTAGTTTGAAATGGAAGTTGCTAATAAGAGGATAGAAAGTAACTAGAACAGTAAGGGAAATGTATTGTAACAGCAACTTTCACATAATTTGAAGACTTTTGTTCTTTCATGTCACATTAGTGACTTTCATATACCTTTTTGCAATTTTCATATGGTATTAGTGGCATTTGCGTCTTAGAAGCAACTTTTCATATATGCTCTCCGAGAGACTTTTGGCATGTGCTGGCAGCTTTCATATTTTATTTAGGATTTTAACTTACTGTCAAATGTTCCACTCCACAAAGATGAAAAGGAAGTCATTGATGCTGTGTTTCTTAAACTTCTTAATAATAGGGTAGATAACAATAGCTGCAGTTTGAGGAAAAGAAAATCCCACACCTTTGTTGCATTTTGGGGAGCAGGCGGTGTGGTCCCTGAAACCTGCAGCTACGCAGATGGAAAATTATATTTTATGGTTAATTAAAATTTCTCATAGGAAGGTGGCCCCTGAAGCTCTCCCAGAAAATAAATAGAAAAGGAATCAGAAAGTTGGTTGTTTTTCTCCCTTGAGCAGACTATTCATCCCACTGTAAGACCGTGGAGAGAATGAATGATGGAATATTTGACTGATGTAATTTATGGTGCTCCATATGACAGCCTATTTCAGAGTGCTTGAGGTTTTTACAGTCTCTGGTAGTAGTACCTGCTGCTGAAACAAGAGATTACTCTCCTTGGACAGACAGTAATTTAATAGTACAACTGTGTAGCTAGCCACCTCCTACTGTATTTCACCACCCACTCCAGTCAGCTTTTGATAGATAGGCCTCAGCACTTGGAATATGAAGCACTATGCATCCTGCTTGAGGTCTTAGGAGATACATCAAGGGTGAAAAAATGGAAAGAAAACAAATAAATAAAAGTATTAGCAAAGTCAAGTAAGCACCGGTTCTCAGTTTTGTTGCTTTTACTGGAACTGTATGCTGAAAGGATGAAATGTCCACTGTATATTGGATGCTGCTAGCTTTTCAGGCATATGGTCAACACTGTCAAGATTTCTGGTCTTGGATGTTTCTTTTCTTGTTTGTTTCTTTGTTTTGAATATTTGACCACAAAATTATCTCAATTCTCAATAAAGTTACATTTTAAGAATCAATGTAAAGCTAATGTGCCTTTTCACTGATATAAAATGCTGCTTACTCTGCATATAAAAGCAAAGTAGATTGGAATCTGCCAGGTTAAAAAAGGGTTTTTTTTCTCCAAGAGCCACAGTTCCAAACTGCAACTCTCATACTTTGATGCACTGACAGGCATTCAGTGTGCTCCTCTAGTCTGTGAAGCAAGGTGGTCAGTGTCCTCACAGAAGATGCAGGAAGGTTTTACTACCAGGGCTGAAAGTATCAGCAGCACCATGGGGTTTCCCTGCCTGTAGTTGGGGTGGCTGAATGGGACTTGCATCATCTTTTCAGACACTGTACTAGATAGTGAAACCAATGGTGGGCTGTATTTAAGGTTCTGGGCAGAGCCCGGACAGGCTTAGGGAGCAACTGTGTGTCAAGGAGTATCAGGTAATCTGGAGGTGCCTCCAATGGCTGCTCACAACTAATTTCTCCATTTCTTCTCTTTTCCTTCTCTCCAGAGAGGCTCAGGGCTGAGCTCCTGCAAAAGTGTGGCAGTGGGAGCAGTAACAACTCTACTGGATCACTTATCTCTTCCACTCAAAAGGTTTCAAAGCCCATAACTCCAAGTTACAAGCAAGATCATGGCACTGTTGGAGACATGCCATTGTACAGGTGAAAATCTTTGAATTAACCAGATAATGGAAAAAAGAGGAGCCTCTGTAATTGCAGCTATGACATGGCAAGGAAGATGTCTATCTTGGTCCGCGTTGGAATAACAGTCCCAAATGATTTAAAAAACCTGTGGAGGTTTCCCCCTGTTGAGTCCAGCATCAGCTACATGGTGACTTCATAAATGTCCATCTCCCCCTTCCTGGCCAGGGAATGCTTTCATTGGGACAGCTAACATATAATCTCCCATCTTTCAGTCTGTTTTGTGCCATGTAGGTATGTAAGATATTTGTACCCTGTTTCCCAGGACCATCAGTTCTGAGCCTCATGACTGAAGGAAAACCAGTTGTAAGGTGGAGTGGTCATCTGCCTGATGAAGAGATTCGCTGTTCCTGGCTGTGCTAATAGCAAATACACTTCTCTCTGACTATTACTTCATGTTCCTTTTTCACTTCTTGAAACTACTTAATTCTAGCCTTTCCAGCCACACTACAGGGGGAAAAAAAAAGGCTTTTAGAATAGCCAAGGGAGTTCTCCCAGAGCAAATAGTCCCATGAATATTTATTCATGGTAAGATTTTCTTTGCTTTTTGTGAGCATTTCTGTGAATAAATTCTTACTCTAGATCTAACTAGATATTTTTGATTTAGCAAAAAGCCATGTAAATCAATGCATTTTATTTGCAAGAGTCTTTGTGAATCTGTCCTCTCTCCTCTTTCCCTTCCTTCCCCCACTTCAAATTTTTCTCTTGGCTCCATATTCAAAAGAAAAGGAACAAATATGCTTTTTTCACCTCTTGCACACACACATATCAGCAATTGATTAAGAATGGGACAGGTCAGAGTAAAAAAATCTTGGACAGCTGCCGGTATAATTTACTTCTAATAAGGAGGGGAAGGAACATCCAGCAACATTTATTCTCTGAGGATGCCATCCAGCATCTGCCAATCACTTCTGCAAGGATCCGAGTGCTCGCAGCCCCACTGAACTCAGGTGGGCTGAAGGGTTCCCACGTGTGCTCAGCAGCTTGCAGAATCAATCCTTCGGGGCCGGCTGCAGGAGCAGGGCTCGGTTCTCAGCCGCTGCCACAGGCGAGGCTGTTCTATCAAGCAATGCTCACTGAATAAAATCTGGGTTAAGTCTTCAGCCTTCTGAGGTCATGGTGCTGCGATGTCCTTACGTGGGGAACCGGCTTTAGGCTGAGAAGAGCACACCAAGCACCAATCTAGGCACGAGGCAAACCAGGAGCTTTTCTTCACAGGCTCCCTCTCTGCTTATTAGGAGTGTGTACATCCTCAGTGCTGCAGCCAGGTCTCCTGGAGCTGGCAAGTGTGCTGCAAGCTTTCTGCTAATAAAGCCCCTGCTGCAAGTTGGAGTCCTTAGATCCTGTTTACAATCTCCCAAAAGGTTTTTTTCACTTTCCCTTGGTCCAACCAACCCATATTGTCTGGTAGTGCATCTCCCAGTGTTACTTTCTAGGTTTTCCATGTTCCCTTTTTGCCCTTTCCAGCCCGTATCATGTTTTTCATTACTCAGATGCCCTTGAACACTCAGATTTTTTAATTCACTTTTGCCTCCCTGATCCACCACTCTTTTCACCTCCATGTAAATGTGGTCTTAAATACCTCCCCCTGTGCCCCTGATCCTGATTTCCAGGTTTCTAATCACTGTATTTTCTTTGTTTCTTTTGCAGTTCTTAAAGGAACAAAATCTAGGCCCAAATGATCTTTCTCCTGCCTTTAACTCTCCATCTTCTGCCTTCTGCCTGCAAGAAGAACCCCAGAACTGTGTTGATGATGTATTTTCAATATCAGGTTCACTGTTACTTCAGGAGAGAACTAATAAAACTGCAGATTTGAAACAATTTAAACTTGATCTATTTAATTACTGAATTCTAATAAAGCCTTTTTGATTCGGACTGTCCCATTCAAAGAGTGTTCACTGGAATACCCTCTAGCAATTTTAAGAGACATCAAATGCTGTTCTCTGAGAGTAACATCCTTATATTTTAGATCAACTTTCGCCTCAAAAAACACCTATAGTTATTCACACAATTAATAGTTTTAAAAACTGAACCCTATTTCTTAGCCACAGGGCAGGCTTGCTGCAGGCACCAGCAAAACAATAAATACCTTATATTTCCTGACCAGCGTCTCTTCAGTCTGATGGGACATGATAAAAAGCAGGGTATAGATGGCAAGTCATATCTCCTAAATTTGCCCTGCCTAGGCAAACAGATAACATTTGTGCTAGATTTAGGTGTTTTAAATTCTTTTTTCAGTGTGTTTTCTTCTTCCATAGGATCCTTAGAGAACAGGGATTTTTTCTTCTTACCTGCATGTCCTTGAGAGAGGATGGAAATTTGACTGGGTCAATTTCAGCATGGTAGTCCAACAAAAAAAAGACTTGTTTGTGGCATCAAGATGGCACAGCTTTCTAAACACTAGACCCCCTATTTTCATATTCTTAAATGGGATTTCAAGGTGAAATGCCACCCTTTACTCACGTCAGCACTTCTGATCAGTATACAAACCCCACAGGCTGGGTCTTAACTGCTGATTATAGGCAAGGATTGAAGCTGAGTATTAACTATGTAAAGTGACACCCAAGTAGCAATGAGAAAAATATTCATGTGAATTATATGAATATTTGTGGCATGTCATATTGCATGACAGCCATTTGAGCTCTGGACTGCTGTAATGGGCTGCGACATGATGTCACTGACTCTGCTTTGGTTGTACCAGGGAAATACTATTCTGTTGGTCAGAAACATAAATGCAAGGTTAAGAAATGCCTTTTGATCCTACTCACCTCCATTTTAGCGTACAAACAGTTTCCTCAAAGTTCTCTATTCTGAATTTAATTTGAAATCCATTCTGTAATAGACTGTTCATGATAATTCCTAATGTTCTGAATAATATGCATTGACATCAAATGTTGCTGCTTATTATTTCTATTATGATAAAAATACATATTAAAAAATTTGATCTCTTCTTTCTTGTTAATTTAAATACAGAGAAATCAAATTTAGAAAAAGTCCATAAATTTTAGGAACCACCCACTTATTCTGCAAAAAATTGAGCCTCTCAGATTAAGTGCCTATTATCCTTCTTTATTTCCATCTCCTGAGATCCCTCCTGTGCTTGCTTTCTGCTACTAGTTCAGGCAAGACAGGAATGCCCAATAAAATACTTCTATGGTGTTTGAAGCAATATCCCTTTAGAAGGTTCACAGTATCTGCACATCTTCTGCTTCTGAGACTTTCTAAATCCTGCTAGTAAGTCTTGGTTCTCATTCCCGTGTGTATTTTTAACTGCCCAAGTTTAAAGAGCAAAATATTTTTTTCCTTTATTGTTGCAAGGACAAAGAAAACTGTATAAAATCCTCAAGGAGCAGCTGCTCTGCAAGGACATTATGAGTGTCCATAGTACTGCTGCAGCATGAGCATCTGTCACTCAAGAAAATGTCATCTTGCCCAGCCAAATCCCTCGTGCAGTCAGAGTGGAGAAAGCACTTGCTTAGAAAGGTTTATGGGCTGACGTCTGTTTGAATGAGTAACATCTGGGCCAGGATGGGCAGGATGCACGTTCCTCTTTGACCAAGTCACTGCATCTTAATAGCAAAAGGTGTTCTTTAACAGAAAGCAAAACAAATGTCACCACTTCCACATTTTTAAATCACATTATTTTCTAAGTCTCAGTTGGAAATAAATCCAACTTTCACAAAAAACCATCGATAATCTTTAGGCATCATGGTTTATCATTTGCAATAAAAACACAGCAGATATTTGAGACGAACATCATGTTATTTTTCTTGGACATGTTAATCAAATCAGCTCTTCAGGAAAAAAAATCCCTGCCTATTAAAAACAATAGCTTGCACAGAACTGGGAGCTGAACAAGGCTTTCATTTGTGTGGAAGCAAAAACACTGGATTCAGGAATTGCTTATGATATCAAGTTATAATATGTGCCTAACTGTCAGACTATAAAGTACAAATATTATTAGATCATCTGAAAATTATGGGTGTTACAGAATGAAGATTTTTTAAATTTTAAATGGCTTGAGAAAATCTCACCAGCGCAAGTCTAATACCCATAATAAATTTACTGATTTACCATTGTAAATCAAATTCTACCTCCTTACGTAGGGCTAATCAGCACAAATTAAGGAAGTTTTCTTATTTTGTTTTCACGTTTAAAGATTACCTTTTCAATCCTTATTATATATATAGCAGTTGCTTTGCTAGCATGTTCCACCATAGGTTAAAAAGCACACAGCAGAGTGATTTGTCTGTTTCATATTTTGGCTTTGTTGTTCAAAATTTTTCATTTGCTTTGGCTTTGAAGTGCAGAGCAGCACCCTTTCACTCACCCATCTTTTTTTGAAGGCAAAATGTAAATCACAAGAATTTATTTTCTTTGTTAACAAACATTTCTTCGTGGGGTTTTTATCACCTTTAGATATAACTTTTAAAAAGATACAAATTAAATCAGACTTTTATCAGTTTTCCCAGAGGAATTTCATTTTCATTTACAGAGACAATTTTATGCTTTTCTCTATTCTTTCAAAGAATTGACAGAAAAATGGAAAATGGGGGTAAGACTGATTGCTAGATCACTAGTTGGTGATCTGATATATCTGTTGAGCTTCTGTACTTGAAGATGTGTCAAGGTGGCATATGTACACCTGGATACATTTGTGACACTCTCCATACACCCCACATACAGATATAGAAAACTTTTGTTCTGAGAAATCTTTCACTTCAAAATAAACCCCATACTTTTCACCAAAAGTTTTTGCAATTCCATGCTAAAGATTATGAGGTGCTTTTTCTGCAGAGCTCTGATCAGCAGATTTGATATATGGGTATGGATCAATTTTTTCTTATGGCAAATCTATATGTTATTCTACTTCTTCATTTGGTACTATTTGCTGAGTGGCTGTTACTTGGGAGCAAAGGTCAGTATCTTGCTGTTGGAGCAGCCGAGTAATCTTTTACTCCTCATAAGGGTAGTCAGAGATATTAAATCACAGTTGACGTACCTGAAGCACAGCAACTTCATCCATATTTTATCTGCTGTAAATTTAATACCACAGCACTTTTTAGGGTGATGTATTTATTAACTGGCTGTGGATGAGCAGTACAGAAATTCAGTTTGTTCAGGAAAATAAAATGAAGACACTCTGACAAGTTTATGAAGTAAGCACAATAGCTATTTATTACTTTTTAAACATGCAGTGCACCTAAATGTTTTTAGCTGTGTTTGCCCAAATAAATGAATAAAGCTTCCCAAATCACCTCTGTTTACTTTTCTTTTGAATTTTAATAAAGTTTTTGCCTTATTTTAAAAAGCACATGCTAGCTTCCTTCATAATAAAATGCATTCTTTATGGAAATAAACATAGCTAAGTGTTCAGATAAGCTGGAGAGGGGCATTGTGGGAAGAGAAACAAATCATTCACAGCATACTGTATATTAATCCCATCTTTTCCATTTTTGGTTCTAATTTATTTTGTTCTTTACATTCTACTACCACCAAAATAAAGGAAGTCATGAATACAATAAGTTTTTAAATGCAAGTACCCGCCTTCCACTGGCTTCTATTGCATTTGAATAGCACTTATTATTTTTATTCAGTGTTACTCTTTGTATTTCTCATGGTAAATAATTCACATGACTTTTTCTTTTCTTGTAACCAAGATATCCTTATTTTTTCATTCAATTAATTGGAAAAATATCAATCTAGATATTTCCATCCTTCATTAACCATGACTTCCATCTTTTTATAACATGACAAAGAAAGATATTTAGATGTTAAGAAGGCATGCAATATTGCCAAAAATAGGGCAACTGTGCCCTTAATGTTTCTGTATAAAAGTGCACATGATTTAATTCGTGGTCATTGAAACCTGATGACCAACTCAGTCTGGAAATACTCAGATTTTGCTTAAAGCCACCCCAGAAACACGCCACATGGTGTGGTGGGTTTGCAGAGTACAGTTACATCAGAGGAATGGCACTGGAGAGCTCGAGGAGCTGCCTGTGTTCTCCAAGTGGCAGAGGATTGTGTGTGTTTGCTGCTCAAACTGTGAAGGGACATCCTCTGCAAATCAAATGTCTGGGGCTATATCTGTGCTTTAGATATATTTTGGAAGAGAGATATTCTGTTTTTCTAGGGTTGTTTATAAAAAGGATGAGTCAAATGACTACAGCAGCTCTTTACCACTCTTTTTGGCTGTGGTATTTGTTTTCTTGGGACAGTCTGTGAAAAAATAGCTATACAACACTGTAGCTTCTTGTTCTTTGCCTGCTGCATCATCAAAAATTTGATTATTCAGGCTTTTGGAGATAAGAGACCAAACAAGACCACTCTCTTGAACTCTGCCCATGCTGAGGTAGGTAATTAGGCAAGTCCTTATTTTTGCCGAAAAGACAAGAACAGAAAGAGAAATCCACAGGAAGAGCTACCTCAGACTGAATCGCCAATTTGCCTCAGGAAGTCTGGAATACTTTTCATTTTTCTGCCTCCAGGTTTATGCAGAAAAGATCTCATCTGCATTACTTTATGGCAATGATGTTGTGTTGGTCTCCATCCCTTTCACAGATCTGCACTGCAGGATCATCTCTCTCTTGCTGTTCAGTGCTTACTGCAGTTTATTCCCCAAGGACCATTACTATTAAATGTAATCTTATTCCTGCTTTCCTTTTCTCCTTTTATTTCAGGTTCTCTGACCCATTTACTCCCTTAAATTTCTAACCGAGTTTTTTTTCTGATCTATTTCCCAGAGTAGAATTTGGCAGCCCATTGGCAGCACACTGAGGCCAAAGGGAGAATGCCCTCTGGTTTCAAGGGGCTTTGGATTACCAGCTAAGCTTCCATGGCCACTTGTCTTCTCTGTTGTAAAGCTCCACATG